TTTGCTGCTGTAGATCGATTTACAGGGAGGGTGGGTGAGTGGGAGAGTTGAGAGAGAGGGAGAGAGTGAGAGTGAGAGTGAGAGTGAGAGTGAGAGAGTTGAGCCTGTTTCGCGTGTTTTGGGAATTTTAGGCTTTTTGTGTTAAAATTTTACAAAACAATGTTTTGCTTGTTTTCCATTTTCAGTTATATTTTTTTTTCATTTTCTAAAACGCGTTTTCGAAAATAAGATAGAGAACGCGTTTTCGTTGTTTTGAGAAATTAAAAACAGAAAATGGCTGGAAAATGACAAAAAAAACATGGCCTAATTAGCTGGACTAATACAACCTTACAAACTAGTGTCAATTTGTACCTGTGGATTTGTAGAAAATACGACTGGAGAACAAAAGATTTGGAGAAGTGGTAGCAACATTAGTCCACCTCTATTTGTGTTGGTGTATGTGTGTGAATTTGCAAATTATAATATGAATAAGTAAAACAATGTAAACTACTTACTTGAAATGACAAAAAGAAATGAAGACGAAATAACAGATTTGTAAACCAAGGCTAGCGTTTAACACTATGTCTTTAAGACAAATTTATCTTACTAAGGTGCTCACGGTGTCTTAACAATCGTCTTCCAAGATACAACGATTTCTCTTTTCAGTAGAAGCATTTCAAATGGAAAGAAATAACGAAGTCGAATTTGAAACGAACTCTCTACTTTGAATGATTTTTTATGTAAGAAAATCAATATTTTGGAGTGTTTTGATGCAATGTAATCAAAGCATATGAATAGGAATGAATTTGAACCACTAAGGGAGTCCAATTTATCAAGGTTGATGGGTTATGGCCAAATAAACATGTCCCAAAATCAGCAGGTTTCATGAAAAGACATAGCCCTTAAGATCGCTTGTTGGCCACCTTCTTCACCGCTCGAACATCTTTTTCAGGGACTTGGCCGCTCACTCGAGCTATCAACTGATATGGCTAGTTTCCCATTTTTTAAGCTTTGGACATCTATTCCTCATTCATCCAGAATTATTTTTATGAATCCAAAATACTATGATTATCTACTCGACAAGTAGAACAAGTTAGTCTATACAAATGCGCGAATTGACTATCGAAACCTATCCGAATACTTGGTCAAAGTTGATACCAAATCAACGTTTTATAAACCTAATTCCAACTATCCCCACATGAATGGAAATTATAAGAAATGCAAATGATAATGCAGACACTAGTAGAGAGTACATGCGGAAAGACATTGCATCAGTAGAGGTAGCTTCTGGCTTTGAACTTGCCTTTATGAAATATTATCGAATTTACTTGACTAATTAGTGAATATGATATCTTAAATTATTTAGTCATTTTTGTAAATCAAGACAATAGTACTCACACAATATCTTCCTTAACAATTTCGATTCTCATGGTTGTGTTCATTTTGGCTCTAAACTACTCTTGAGTTTTATAAGTGTTTTAGAGAATTTAAGCCTAAAATTTTTTCATTGAAGCAGTCAAACTTCACACTTACATAGATGATCTCATATTGAGAGTATTCTGATATACTCCACTCGACTTATTCAAGTTATAGGAATCATTAAAAGTATAACTTAAACTCAAACATTCTACAGAAAGGACTTTAATTATCATAGGAATGAGTAGAAAATAATTCCTAAGTGCTTTATGAAATCTTCATAACTTAATTATCCCATTAAATCAAGATCTTGAGATCTCTAGTCAACAAGGTTAGGTCACCATTACAAAGACTCTTATGTAGTAGGCTTTAATCACATTCCCTTCGATAGGCAATATATTTAATCGCTAGGTAAGCTTTTCGTACGTAGATCCACAATATTTCCCTTAAATTTTAAATGGAAATAATATCATTTGAGATCAATCGCTTAATGGTATTCTGTCTATGACGCATAGGTCTAAACTTACCATTATATATATATATATATATATATACAAGTTTGTTTTGAGAACTTTCAAGATACGACAACCCCACCAATAGTAAAAAATAACCGCTAGTAGATTTGGAATCGTTTGTATTGAGTATTCAATTCGCATCACAATATCCTTCAAATACAGTTGGATATCTTGTAAAATGTAATCCAAAGTTTGAGTTAAATCTTAGAACCCTATTTAATGCCTTCCAATATTCATTGCTTAGACTACTTGTGACTCTACTAACTTTACTCACAACATATGCTATATCTGATCGAATGCAGTTTGTAATACACATTAGATTGCCATAACTTGAGAATACTTTAGTTGAGACACCGGTCCACAATTATTTTTGACTAGGTGTAAACATAAATCAATCAATTGGGTTCTCACTGGACTTTTCCTTGTATACATTAATTTTTTTTAAGTACGTTCTCAACATAATGAGATTTGAAAAGAACAATTTCATCATATGTTCTAGAAATTTCAATTCCTACTATAATATCTGCCACACACATATCCTTCATGTTAAAGTGTTTTGTCAATATTTTCTTTGTGCTCATAATGATATCATGATTGTTACCCATAATTAATATGACATCAACATATAGACACACAATTATTTATGACTCAAGTGTTTGTTTTATGTATACACACATATCACACTCATTATTTTAAAATCATTTGACAATATTGTTTTGTCAAAACTTTTGGTGCGGCCATTACTCTAGAGCTTACTTCAACCCAAAAAAGGGACTTAACGAGCTTCCACACTTTCTTTTCTTGGTTAGGAGCAATAAACCCTTCAAGTTATTCCATATATATTTCTTTTTCTAATTTACCATTCAAAAATGTCGTTTTAACATTCATCATTTGATGAATCTTAAGATTGTGCAATGCATCA